GATTTATATTCGTCGTTGAAATGACACCATAATATTGTTTCCATATTGTGTATTTGTATATATACAAGACGTGTATTGTTTATCTAAATCGTTCGATTATCTACGTATCAGACGTTCATCGAACGCTATCGAACTCCTAATCGCAAATATTCTTCTCTTAATCTGAACAAACTTTATTGTTCTATCGACGATATTCGTCGTTACGTAGATACACATGTATGTACGTATGTATTTATGTATTTATGTATACATGTAGACGTTGGAGAATTTTGAACTGAAATTTTAATATAAAATATTTATTAACGGTATAGCATATATATATATATATATATATGTGTATATGTGTTTGTGTGTTTGTGTGAGTATGTATATATATTTTCTAGCTTTTTAATATAATAATAATATTATTATTATATTAAATAATAACAAAGTTATATTATAAATAAAATAATTTTATAAAATGTAAATAAAATTTTCCAATGTAATTATAATAAATCGACATATATATATATATATATATATATATATATATATATACAAATTAATTATTTATACATTCATTCATTATAAATTATTTATATAAAAATTATAATTCACTTAATGCAAGCTTTGACAATAGAATACGTTCGTGAACATTGCGTCGCGTGATCCATCGATGTGCCACCACAGTATGAAAATTGCATTATACATGATAATAATTTATCAGTTGATGATATTATCACTTTGTGATCAAACATTAAAGACGTCGCAGGATTGGGGAGGGGAGGGGATGGGAGGGGGTGAAGGGTCACGTTTCATTTTACATAAAATAATCATAAAAGAAAATTCGAAGGAAGAAAACAAACAAACAAACAAACAAAAAGAAGGAAAGTAAAAGAAACGATAAATAATTAAATATCGAAGAAAATAAAAAGGAAAATTATTTCGAAATTTGAGAGAAGATAGTATTCGTTAGAAGAAATATAAAAAAAAAATAAAAAAAAATAAAGAGTAATTATATTAATAAGAAAATTGAAAGTTATAATTAACTTTAAGATTTAATAAAAGAATAATCGTGTGTTATCGATAAAAAGCTCAAGAGATAGAGAGAGAGATAGAGAGATAGAGATAGAGAAGAGAGAGAGAGAGAGAGAGAAGAAAGGAAAAAAAAAAGGAGGATTTCTCTGGAAGATAGCTCGTAAAAAAAAAACAAGTCGATCCGTTGACGTCAGCGCAGAAATTCGCAGCCATTTTTTATCCCCTAGCAGAGGGTAAAGCGGATTCTCCACACGTGCGAAAACGCGTACGTAAAGAAACGCCAAAAGAGCCCTATGACTTTTTACTTTCCAAGCCGAAACTTTATTTCCTTCTTGTTCGTCTTCGTCGTCGTCGTCGTCTTTGTCGTTGTCGTTCTTGAACGATATTGTCTTTAACGGTCCTTCCTTCTTCATTCTACCCTAGACCCCTCCCCCCCTTCCTACCACCCACCCCCAATTTATCCATACATTCCGTTCACTCGAACAAGAATTTTCTTTTTTTCTTTTTCCTTTTTTTTTTTTTTTTCTTTTTTCTTTTTGTTCCTTAACACACTCGATCATGGAAAAAAGAAAAATATTTTTCTCGTCTGAAGTGAGCAAAATTTTTCGACAATTTTTTCTGCATCATACAGATATTTCTACATTATTAAGTTTTACGAAGGATATTTCTTTTTTTAATGTCATTGAAAAAAGTTTTTTTTTTTTTTTTTTTTTTTTTTTTTTTTTTTTTTTTTTTGAAAGGGATTATGTAATGATGATGATCATGATGATGATGATGATGATGACGATGATGATGATGATGATGATTAGGATGTTGACGATAATTTTGTGAAATAGATATGTAATCATTAGATGTTATTAGATATATAATAATAAAGGAGATTAAATCGAACAGATAGATATAATTAATGATATCTAATAATTGTAAATTTTCATATACATATATGTATATATATACATATATAATTATTAAACAATAATAATAATAATAATAATAATAATAATAATAATAATAATAATAATAATAATAATAATAATAATAATAATTGTAAAATAGATATACAAATATTAATAATATTATTTTCATGCATAGAATGATACTTGTAGAATAGATATATTATTATTATTATTATTATTATTATTATTATCATTATTTGACATATTAAATGTATATAATTAGCATTATATGAAATATTGAAAAAACAAAATAACATATATATATAGTTAATCGTAATCCAATGTAAGTTAATATGAGTTATAAAAAAAAAAAAAAAAAAAAAAAAAAAAATGGAAAAAAGAAAAGGAAAAAAGAAAAGGAAAAAAAAGATGCATAAGCAAAACCAAAGTGCCTTTATTTCGAGAGAGAGCGAGAGAGAGAGAGAGAGAGACACAACTGTCATGGATATAAATGGACAACCACAAGGACTAAAAACTACGTCAATCTTTCTCTTTGCAAAAGGGCCAAAAATGAAATATCTCAGCGGAATTTCCCGGCACGTGTCCAATTAAGAGTAGTATTCGAGAGAAGCCGAAGGGATTGTATAGGGGAAGGAGATCTTCCTGGAAGACGAGGATAGAATAAAAAGCAATCTGCTAAGTCAACCAAAAGAGAAAGACAGAAAGACACGGAGAGACAGAGACAAAGAAAGAAAGAAAAAAAGAAAGAAAGAAAGAGAGAGAGAGAGAGAGAGAGAGAGAGAATAGAGACAAGGCACCGTTATCAAGAATGGATAACGGTGATAATAAGCGGTTCGCTTCAGTGACGTTTTTAGCAAGCTTCGTTAAATGCGTCGTAATGAAGAGCTACCGACATAACAAAAGGGATGAGAGAGACGATTCATTTATGAATGACGGTAGGGCTTGCTTTTCAAAATGAATTTATTTCCTTCTTACTACCCTTCCTTCCTTCCTTCCTTCCTTCCTTTCTTCCTTATTAGATTATATAATTTTACAATTACAAAAGTAAATTGTATAATTGACAATGTAAATAATCGATAAACATATTAAGTAATTATGTTTCTACGTATAATAATATCGGACTTGTTAACATCATTTGTTAAGTTCATTTGAAATGAACAATTTTAGAATTTCATTTGATCTGTAATTTGGGTGTCAATAGGGGGTGGAACTGGGAAAGGGAGAGGTCAAGGCGAGAAGGAGGGAAGGAAAAGAAGAAAGAGGGGATAGGAAAAAAAAGAAAGAGAGAGACAGAGAGACAGAGAGAGAGAGAGAGAGAGAGAGAGAGAGAGAGAGAGAGAGAAATGAAAGATAATGAAAATAATTTATCATTGAAAAAATTTACGACTATTGTATTTCCAAATATAATGACTTGTTTTATCAAAATTAACTCTCTTCCATTACCCCTCCCCCCCCCCCTCTCCCTCTCTTTCTTTTTATAAATTATGTATATGTGTGTTTATGAGAGAAGGAGAGAGAGAGAGAGAGAGAGAAAAATGTTTCAAGAAAAGAATCGTTCATTAATTTTTCTTTCGTATTATATCGTACTATGAGAAGAATAACAGCAGTTGTTAACAAAGTACAAAAAAAAAAAAAAAAAAAAGAAAAAACAACAAGAAGAAAAATAAAGGAAAAAAAAAAGAAAATGTAAAAAAAAAAAAATAGCAGAGAAAGAAGAAAAGTTTTTTCGTTCGATTAAACGAGAATAATGAAGGATAAAAGAGAATGAGAAAGGAAACAAAAGAGAAAAAGAGAGAGAGAGAGAGAGAGAGAGAGAGAGAGAAAAGAGAGAAGAAAATAGGAAAAAGAAAAAACTAAAAGGAAGAAAAAAAGAATGATCGACGAAGCGTAAAAGTTTTTACGCACGTTGATAATGTTTAAAGAACTGAAATAATCGTGAAATCCAAACAACAAAAAAAAAAGAAAAAAAAAAAAAAGAAAAAAAAAAGAAAAAAAAAAGAAATAAAAAGAATAATAAAAAAAAAAAAATAGAAAGAAAAAAAAAGAAATTCTCACGAAAAAATAAATGTAGGGGATACACGTACGTTAGGACATAAATTTTCTATGTATGTATACATAAATATATATATGTGCGTACGTATTTATCTATGTATATATGTAAGTACACATGTATGTATACATATATATATATATATATATATATATATATATATATATATATATGCATATGTACACTTACCTATTTATGTATGCATCATACGTATCATCCGTATGTACGTATGTATACATACATACATACATATATACATACATACATATATACATACATACATACATACATACATACATACATACATACATACATACATACATACATACATACATACACACACGTATGTATATATATATCTATGTATGTATGTATGTACATATATTATTTTCTGATTCATTCGAATCATATGGTGTTATCTTTGGTGTCGGGTCTGTCAAGCGTGTACTTAGTTATCGCTTTAGCCTTGGCTTAAATCCGTGCGAAGCAAAGTTTGTAAGCGAGGATAGGAAGAGTAGGAGGAGGAGGAGGAGGAAGAGGAGACGGTGGTGGAGGTGATGGAGGACATGAAGAGAGGAGGGGAAGGGTTTTCGTTAGCAATGCATTGGACTAAAAGCACGTTAGACGTTAACACTTAAACGTCTTTGGAAATTTAATTTTCTATTTTTTATTATTCTTTTCTCTTTCTCTCTCTTTTTCTTTTTCTTTTTTTTTTTCTCGAATTATCGGGAAATCTCTTAAAGATATGTCATTTTGAGAATGCGTTAAAAGAATCGTTAAAAGTTATTAACAATTTCGTTAGAATTTTATCGTACGATCATTCCTAACGACGTATTAGAATATATGAATTAATTAAATGTCAATGCTACGCGTCCTCTTTTTTTTCTCGATAATTTATATACACACACACACATATATATACATATATATATATATATATATATATATATATATATATATATATATATATATGTATGTATGCATGTATCTATATATATAGAGAGAGAAGTACTTACTTTATTATAGTGTTAGATGATTCTAAATATTTATCCAGCTGCATCTGTAATAAAAAAGATATACCTTGTAAATATTACTATTTGAATATACTTATGTACTTATATATTCATTTATTTTAATTATCAGAAAATATCTAAAATTGTATGATAGATAATTATTTGTGAATAAATAATATTATATAGAATTAATAATATTATATATATATATATATATATATATAATATTTGATAAAAAAATATTTAATATACTTAATACATGAATTACTATATACTTGATTCTATAATATTAACAATTTAATATATTTCTCTTTTTTTTTTCTCTCTCTCTCTCTCTCTTTTTCTCTCACTATCTCTCATCAAATTATAATACCTTTTACAAAAATAAATTCAATGCTCACGAGACAATTATAAAAAAAAAATTAAAATATAATTGTGTACATTATATCTTTATATATTTAATATCTCACATATAAATTAATAATATAAATTATCTAACATTTATTATCATTTAAAATATCATTTTATAAAATGATATAAAATTTCGAAAGTAATTACGATAATAATTTATATCACTTTTAAACATTTTATAATAAATATATCGATATAATTGGATGTATATTTTGATTGGAATTTGATATCACGAACGGTCCTCTCTCTCTCTCTCTCTCTCTCTCTCTCTCTCTCTCTCTCTCTCTCTCTCTCTCTCTCTCTCTCTCTCTCTCTTATCGTACGCGATCCAAGAACATTGAGAGATCGTTGTTAGTTTCGATCGGTACGATCCTCGATGATTGGCTTGAACGAGCTCTCGTTCGAAGCAATCAATTTTTATTATTAATAATACGCCATTTACACCCCACGTGAGTCCGTGACCTATTACGAACCCTTCCTGACTCTCACTTGCGTCACGTGTGCCGCTATTTTATAAGGCCTACGTTGTTGGTACAAAATCGATCACCGAAGGAAGCATATTAATAAACAAGTCCTTTCTTTCTCTCTCTCTCTCTCTCTCTTTCCCTTCCTCCCTCCCTCTCACTCTCCTTCTCTCCTTCTCTTTGTTTATTACTCTCTAGATATTTTTATTCTTTCTTATCTATCAACATAAATTAACAAAGTTTATGTATATAAATATCAACATATGTTTTATATAAACATTAATAAATAAATATTTATAATATTATATAAACATATACATATATATATATATATGTAAAATATATTGTTTAGATTTTAGATAATATTAATACGTTATATTTATTATTATTATTATTATTATTATTATTATTATTGTTATTTATTATTATTATTTATTATTATTATTATTATAATTTGAATGGAAGATAATGTAAAATTTTCGGTTAATAAAATATAATCGAAGGTTGGACAGAAATGAGCGTCATAAAACACGCTTTCTACTTTCGTCGTTGGCGCCATAACACGTTTGAATAAACCGCGTATTTTCTGCCTTCTTTGGAGATGGAGGAGGATCGTTACGAGAGAAAGCACTTTTGTCGGGACATGGGGGCAAGAAATCGTTTTAACGATCCAGTTCGCGCGTTGCTCGAGCCTCCTCCGTCATTATTTTACGACTTAACCGTGAAAAGCATTACATTTGCGTGACCAACCGATTTTCAAATATCTATGTATATGCACACACACACACACACACACACACATACCTCATTTATATATCTACCTATGTATGTATATAATATATATATATATATATATTTATATATATATATTTATAATGTATTCAAGGTTTCGTTTATGAAACATCATAATCAAATTATAAATTTTTATATTTTATAGGTAAATGAACATCTACCATAAGTCATCTATATAATTAATCTCAATCTATTTATGTCATATAACTATATAATATATGCATGTTCGTGTTTGTACGTGTGTGTTCACCAATTTGCAAATAATCGTATAAAATGCAAAAAAAAAAAAAAAAAAAAAAAAAAAAAACCGGAAAAAATAAAATCAATTCAAACGCACGCGCGAATACATAAAAACATACGAATTCTAATTGGAAATCTTCAAAAGAAAAAAGAAAAAAAAAAAAGAAAAAAAGAAACAAGAAAAAGAAAAAAAAAGAGAGAAATTAATATTCCTTCCAATACGATCTCTAATCACTTTTACATTATTCATTTTGTAATATTATAAAATTTTCGACTAAAAAGTTAACGGAGGAGAAAAAATGGGAAAAAAGACGAAAAGACAAAAAGAAAAAATAATAGAAAAAGAAAAAGAAGAGGAGGAAGAAAAGAAAAGAAATTCAAAGACGATGATTTCATAGCCGATGTGACGCAGCATCCAAAACTGGTTCCAATCTTTCTAACCTCGAGTATGTTTCCTTTTTTTTTCTTTTTCTTTTTTTTTCTTTTTCATCATCTTCTTCTTCTTCTTCATCTTCTTCTTGATCATTCTCGTCACAGAGTGAGGCCAGTTAACGGTAGAAGAAAAGAAGAAAAGAGTCAGGAGCAATGTTAGTAAGAATCACGGAAGAGAATGAATTCCATCTGATAAAATCAAATACATACATACATAGATTTGCGCACGCGCGCGTACACATCGATACATAGATGTATATGCATGTAAAAAGAAAAAAAAAAAAAAAAAAAAAAAAAAAAAAATTCACATCTCTCGAGATTTCTTCGATAAAAACTCTAAGAAAAGAAGAGAAGAAAGAAGGAAAGGGACTCATTGTCGATTTTAATCATTTTCACATTACTTTTTATCATATCATTTCAATTATCATTGAAATTAGAGGAAAAAGAAGGAAGAGAGAGAAAAAAGAAAAAAAAAGAGATTACGAATACTTCTCGTACAAATCAATAAATGTACGTCCACGCGAATAAGACAAAGCTCATATTTTTTTTTCCGTGGAGTATTTTTTTCTTTTTTTCTTTTTTTCTTTTTTTTTTTTTTTTTTTTTTAATTTTAATAAATCCTGCAAAAATCTCGTCGTAGTTCTGATTGAATTTAGTCGCTTTTTCTTTTCTTATTTTTTTTTTCTTTTTTTTTTTTCCATTTGCATTTCTTATCATTAAAAAAAATTTTTATTCTCGAGTCAGTAAAATAGTTAATGAAAAAAGATTAGAAGACGACGATCAAAAATTATACAGCCAATGTAACGCATCGACTAAAACTGGTTCTAATTTTTTTAACCTTACGAGTCCTTATTATTATTGTTATTATTATTCGTCGTCTTCTTCTTCTTCTTCTTCTTCTTCTTTTTCCTGATCATTCTCAGTCACAGAGTGAGACCGGTTAACGGTAGAAGAAAAGGAGGAAGAAAAAAAACAAAATGAATTAGGAACAATGATTAGTGCATTGCTTGTAAGAGAATGAAATTCCTCTTATACAATCACGTATACGAGAGCATACGTAAATACGAAATATTCATTACCGTTTGAATTCTATTAAATCTCATTTGTCATAATGCAAAAGTTATCGTTGAAAGTTAATAAAGAAAGAAAGAAAAGAAATGAAAAGAGAAGAAATAAAATAAAAAAAAAAAAACAAAAAAACTTGAGAAGACAATTTCACAATTTTATGATGGCCAAAGTGACGGTGTACCATCCAAAACTGGTTCTAATCTTTTTAACCTTCCCTTCTCATCTTTTTTTTTTCTTCCTCCTCCTCCTCCTCCTCCTCCTGCTCCTCCTCTTCTTCTTCTTCTTTTTCTTCTTCTTCTTCTTCTTCTTCTTCTTGATCATTCTCGTCGCAAAACGTGAGACCGGTTGTTGACGTTCGACGAAAAGAAGAGAAGAGAACGTAAAAAAAAAAGGAAGAAAGAAAGAAAGAAAGAAAGAAGAAAAAAAAAGAAGAAGGGAAAAGGAAAAAATTTTAAGAAGTGAAAGAAAAAGTAACAAAAAAAAAGAAAAAACGAAAAAACGAAAGAAAGAAAAGAAAAGAAAAGAGGAAAAAAAAACGAGAAAAAAACATAAGTTAAAAGCAAAATGTAAGTGCGAAAGAAGCTACAGAAGGAAGAAACACTGAATCCTTTTCGTATGAGTTTTTCGTGAGAGAATGGCGGCTATGTAGTAAAACCTGAGAGATCAACAATGTGTGTGTGTGTGTGTGTGTGTGTGTATGTGTGTGCGTGTGTATATGTGGTGTGAGATTTTTAGTTCGCTCGTTCGAGCTGCTTCACGAGGCACAACGGAGTTCTTTGACTGGCCTCGATGTTATTTGACGGACGGAGCGCGCTTCTCACGCTCTCCTTCCTTTTTCTCTCTGCTCTAAACACCCCTTCGCCTCCTCTACCCTCTTCTTTTCTTTTTTTTCTACGCTTTTTTACTCTCTTCTAATCGCGAAGCCGTCCGCAGTACCAGAGGAGAAAGAGTATAGAAAACTAGAAGTAGTCTTTCAAAGAACGGAGAAAATATTTTTAAGAGAAAGAGAGAGAGAGAGAGAGAGAGAGAGAGAGAGAGAGAGAATGAGAGAGAGAGAGAATATATATATATATATTTATATATTTAGTTTTTATTAAAAAATATTTATATATAGTTAAATTTTTCTAATATCATAAAATTTATTAAATCGTTTCTTATGAATTATATTTAAAATTCTTTAAGTATTTATATATCTTTTATATCCATAATTTTATTAATCATAAAAGAAAAAAGAAAAAATAAAATTCAATCTAATATGCATTTACGAACGCATACAAAACGCACACAATTTTATCATTAATTAGATAGATTTTTAATCATGAAAATTCTTACATATTAATTATTCATAATTTAGAATAAACAAAAGTTATTCTTGTAAATTAACTTAAATGAATTAACTCGTTAGAAAAAGAAACAAAAAAAAAAAAGAGAGAGAGAGAGAGAGAGAGAGAGAGAAAGAGAGAGAAAAGTTTTATTACAAATAAAAATATTCAACTTCATTATACGTATTACTCAAGAGATTTTCTCTTTCAAACTGGATTAAAAAAAAAAAAAAAAAAATAGAGAGAGAGAGAGAGAGAAAAAAAGTAAAAGAAAGAGAAAAAGAAAACTTCAATTACAATGATTCTTCTTTATTTAAC